GTGTGTGTGTGTGTGTTGAGAGAGAGAGAGAGAGAGAGAGAGAGAGCGAGAGAGAGACAGGACGACCACAGGTGTGCAGCATGTCTGAGAGAGAGAGAGAGAGAGAGGACGACCACAGGTGTGGTGTGTCTGAGACGCCATCAAGATAGGCAGGCCGACCAATGGTGCACACACACTGCTCCCTGAACACAGAATGGAAGTGCGTGCATGCGTGTACACACAAATACGGGAATGAGAAGAAAGGCATTTACACCCATGAGAAGCACACAATCTGCCTTGTAGCAAAAACTGGAGTCAAGTTCTAGATCACCCTCCAATGGCCTGCAGTCTGTTGCTCAAGGGGGGAACCTTAAACATAACGACGTGTCATTCATGGGCTCAGATGTCAAAACTGCCTTCTTCAGGGGGAGAGTGAGTCTTTTATTTTTTGTTTGAAATGAACGTGTGAGTCACCAAAGACTCTAAGTCCATGTTAGTTTTACTTTTCCTTTCTTTCTTTTAGCTTCTCACACCACTTTTTTTTATGCTTGAGGGATAAGAAATCTGGATTTCCCCCCTCTTTGGGAGGATTTTTAAAGAAACATAGTTTATATTTATATAGCTCATCTCAAGAATGGCAATTAACAACATTATCCTATTATTAATATTGTATTATCTCTCTATATGTGGTTCTCTTTCTCCCTACTCCCCACATCCTGCTTCCCTCTGCCCTCAATAGTCTCATCCTCTACTCTCCTTGTTCCTGTCCCACCCCCATGCCCCATGGGAGGGTGAGTTTTTAAAAGAAAATACAAAGTATGAATCCATTCAATGGTAAAGGAGCCCTTGTGGTGTGGTGGACTGATAAACACTGGACCACTAACTACAAGGTCGGTGGTTCCAACCCACCATCTGTTCCTCAGGACAAAGAGGAGGTAGTTTGCTCCTATAAACTGACAACCTCAGAAATCCCATAGGACAATTCTACTCTGTCCTACAGGGTCCCTGTGAGTCAAAATCGACTTGATGGCCATGAGTCTTTGAGTCTCAAACTCATGTCCTTCTAGTCCCTGTCAAAGGAAGTGCCATCAGCTGCAGAGTGAATTAGTTACTGAAGGTGTCCTTCTATAGGTTAAGGCAACGTTAGAAGCAACCATCTGTCTCCCCTTCCCTGGCACAATCTCTTAGAACGCCAATGTGAAAGCTCAATGGAGAAAGGCTCAGAGCAAGCTGTGAAGTCCATGGCTGGAACGCTGGGAATGGGTGGGGAGGCTTTTTAAATCCCTTAGAGCAAATTTAAGACGGTGCCAACTGATCCTGTGTGAGCTGACCAACAACATTTCCTGGGTGTGACATGGGAAGTCTCTGAACCCTAACCAGGGAAGCACCGTGCACACGTGACAACTGGAGCCGTCTCCTGCAGAGCCCAAGTCAGGCTCAAGTTGCGCTTCTTCAGTGGTGTGCAGGGCAGTCTATAGAACGGGTGGCACCCTTGAAGGCTTGTTCCATGAGGGTGTGTGGGGCTACGAGAGGGGGACACTCCTATGAACAGCAGCAAGCACCTGGACAATGCCTACAGGTGACCTGTGACCAGCTGCAGAATATGACCGGCTGGTGATCAAGTTAAACCCCGCTTGTGGAAAACTTGCGCGGGTTTGTGCGCGCCCCTTCTCCTGTCAAATGAGCTGTGAACCACTGACCATCAACCTAAGGGCCCGCCACTTAGTTTCGTGGATGTCTTAACATACAATACATTTCAACCACCATTTAAACGGTTATGCTCACATTGCTTTTCTTACTTTCGTGAAGGAAGGGTGTGTTCTCGAGTGAGAAACAACAGCACGCTACAAAAACTGCTCTCGGGTGCCCTGCCTACCAACAGAGCACGTTGGAGGGCCAGAAAACACAGGCGTGAGGGAGAGGGACAGAGTCCTTTCTACTTAAGTACAACAAGCCTTCACTTAAACATGAATTTTCAAGTCTCCAAAGAGACCGTGAGTATCCCAAAGATGAAATCACGTGTCTGTTTTAAGAGCTATCTGAACTGCATGATGCTGAAGTGACAGTCTGCCTCTGCTCTCTGTGAACGCAGCAGACGCTTGCTGGCCAACTGGTCCTTTACCTCAATGAAAACTATTCTTGTGCCATTTCTGTTTTTTCTCTTTAACGTCACCGGGCTCGTCAAGACTCAGGGCCTGTCAAGCGCTCTGTTGCCAAGGCTCTGCCTGTCAGAGAGGTCAGCACACAGTACCTTCCAGTTGGGTCCCAAAGGGCCTCTCTGGGTCTTGACTGACTGGAACAATGCTGGGTCTTCGTCAGCTTTGTAATCCTGCAAAAGCAGAGCACGGTCAGGAGAGAAGAAAACCAGAGAACATTCTTTATGAACACCAGAGAGGCTCTTTGCCTCTCTCCTAAGAATCACACCAGTACTACTGTGTGTATGCGGCATGAAAGTACACACAAAAACAATGCTCCTGTAAGGCACTGGGCTTTCCGGTCTTGCCCTCTGTGCTTTAAACTTGCATTTTAGCAAAATGACTACTCAAGACAACGAAATCATGTTGTGACTGGTAGCCTACGAATGGAAATATTTCCAGTTATTTTTTTCAACACTTTCGTCACTTTGATGAAGGTATAACCACATTCAAGGAAAAAAATGTTCCCATTCCAGTTTCACCAATCCCTGTGGATGACAAGGGACGTTGGCTGCCCACTTCAAAGGGACGGCGATGGCACTAATTCTGAAGCATCACTAGATGCCGGTGAGTGAGGGTGGAGCTGCTATGTCAGTCGGATTCCTTGACCATGCTCTCCAAATATCACCCCCAACACCTCACTCAAGCAAGGGACACACAAACTCTGGCTTTGTCATGGAAGAGGATGTACTCGGGACATGCCAGAATACAGCTAGTACAAGCACTCAGCTTGTCACGTCAGAGACAGCCAGGGAGACTCAGGTACATCATGCTTCTGGGAACTGCCCCACCATGCACAGCCTGTGACCTCTCCATTCTTCCAGACAGGGAGGAGGAAGTGAAAGGAGAGCATAAAGCCCCTGGTGTGTGTGTGTGTGTGTCTCTCTCACACGCGCTCGCACACACACTCCTCTGAAGTCCAACTATAAGAAACGAAGGAGTGTGAGTGTGGTAACAGAGTATGGAGAAGTGTCGGCTGGCCAGCTGGAGATACTGAAGAGAAAACTGCACCAAGGTCCGTCAGAGGAGTACGTGTTGAGCTGCTAACCATAAGGCTGGTGATTCAAATCCACCAGACGTTCCTTTGGAGAACGATGAGGCTGTCCACTGCTGCAAGGATTTACAGTCTCAAAACCTTAGGGAACTGTTCTGTTCTATCCTGTAGGGTTGCTGTGAATGGCAACCCTACGGAAATGAGTTTTTTACATGCTTTAGAGAAAATTCACAGAAAAGTCAGACATGGGGCCCTGGTTGGAAGTCACTGTTCAGGGGCTAAGGGGTCACCCATCAGAGGAAATGCAGCAAGCAGCGGCCAGTCCTGACTCAACACCCAGAGTGCTGTAGAAACTTCTCAACCCACCAGAGGAAACTCAGTGAGAAGCGGCCAACCTGGATGCCAGTCAGAAAACCTGTATCACAGGTGCGTAACTCTTCAAGAGCAAATCATACACTGGGTGCCAAAGGAGCCATGAGGTTCTGGGAGAAAACAAAGCATTACAGAAAGACAACAAGAGGGGCTTCTAAGAGTTCACAGGGAGTGCAAAAGAAAGATAATGGAGATTCCCACAAACTTTCTGAAGCACCCTCATATGCAGTCCAGAACGACAAAAATCTCTCAAAAGAACACCTGAGAAGCTATGAAAAGGCCCTACAACAGGCTCAAGCCACTGAGGAGGCAAACCCAGCTGCCACCATCACGTCTCAGTGCTTTAAAATGTGCAGCCTGGTGTACCCACAGGCAGGCCAGCTGGCCTTCCCAGGACCAAGGAACCAGGCCAGGCTAAGCCCAAGGCAAGGAGGAATCATTGGCCAACCGGACTTACCTAAGGTGACCAGACGTCCCACTTTTGGCGGGACAGTCCCGATTTTTAACAATTTTTCCCACATCTCGCAGCATTTTTTAAAAGTCCCAATTTTTGGAAAGAATGCACGACAAGCTAGGGTAGACGGTTTTCGGCTGCCATGTGGCTATTTCGCCAGGATATGAGTTTTATCAAAGGTGTCCCACTTTACCAATGTTAAAATCTGGTCACTTTAGATTTACCTCCTGTATGGGCACACCACCAGAAAAAAAGCTCAAGTTCTCGCAACTAAATTCCAATTTAGGGCCACAACCTCCGGCCTCCAGACCTATGGAAATCTGATGGAACAGAGCTAGCCCAATTCGCCCAGCGAGGTCTGAACTTTCCTGCTCGGAGAAAGAAGGCCAGAAAACAGAGTTGGTGGAAACATCACCAGGGCTGAAGGAGCAGAAGCAAGGGGAGACAGCAAGGTCAGTCCACAGGCTAAATGACAAAGAATTGGAGAACAGAAAATTAGGCTTACATGGTAGCCACTGAAAAGGATTTTCGCGTGGAGGTAAATCAGACAAGGGATGAGTGGTCCCAGGAGATAGGCCTAAGAACAATCAGGGTTCCTGGGAGGATGCAACGGTATGCATAGGAATTTCACAGCCTTCCTCCACCACCCTCCTTCCCAACCTGCACTGTGCTGGGCCAAGAGCTTCAGGGAGTTGCCTACGCCTGACAGGCTTGGGTTCCTGGGGGGGGTACAAACAAAAGTGCTTAAGAGATCAGTTAACTGAAGACACCAGGACAACACTCAAAAAATGTGCTCTGCTCTGAGCCTAACAAACGGTATGACAGGTTATGCTCCCAGACCCTCCTGATTCGTGTCAGCGGGCCACTAGGAGACTTGTCACAGAATCGCAGAAGCAAACGGCACCGTAAAGACTATCCATGTCCCTCATTTTACGGGTCCAATGAGGAGGTTACACCTGCTTGGCACCTCTGTCCTGGGCATGATCTCACACACCTCACCACACAGGAGGAAGGCTGAAGGGTGTCCACAAATGCCAGACAAGCAAAATGCATGTCAACAGCACCAAGCAGCAACAGCAGCAAGCACCAGGGCCACCCACACAGGTTTTCCTGTAAGGCATGAGTGTGACTATCTCACACACATACATGCAAGCAGGCGCATGCACATGCCTTCTCTGCCTTTTCCTCTTGAATACAAAACAGTAAGCATGAAGGATAGTATACTGAAAATGTAACAAAACCCAATTACTAACAACAGCACCCCAGCCCTGGCAGGTGAAGATAATGCATCCTGTCAAAACCGAAGCCTTTTTTTTTTTTTTTGGGGGGGGGGGTGTTAAAAAAATATTGGTTGGAATGCATAAATGTTTAATCAGTTGGATTTAAGATGCAAGATGTTAAAAAGAAAATCATAAAAACACAACATGAAGCAGGTGCCCCCTCCGGTTTGAATCTCTAGAACCAATATTTAATTTCTTGAACAATACCTTCAATGTGACAATTTTCTCTTTGGCTATTCTCGTTTGGGCTCTCTGTTTGAAAACTGGCCAGTTTATACCCGTATCACAATGAACAAATATATTCCTTCATGTATGACAGTTTCAGCACACAGAATGCAACCTCAGCTACCAATTATAGCTGCAAATGAGCAATCGTGTGGAATGAGACAGCCTGCTGGCTTTGTTAGTATTCTGTCTCCTTTGGGATCCCATGGGGAAAGGGAGGCTCTGATGAAGAGAAGCCCTTGGCTCATGGTTTATTGTGCTTGCCACCAGCTGCAGACTTCTCATCTCATTAGTTCTTTTAGAATACTGTGGGTGAAGACAGCTGTAGCCTACTTGATTCTTCAGCTCCCGGGTATTCTGAAGGCTGAATTTGCTATGCACTTTCTGTAATCCTTGGGAAAAAAAAACAAAGGAAGAAAGAAAGCAAACTAGGCCCAGGAAATGTATTTCTTAAAATGAGTTTTATAATCATGTTTAAAAGTAGAAAAATCTTATTGCTGAGGTGCAGTGTGTCTAAATTTCTTTATGATCAAATTTTAATTATCTGAATAATGCCCAGAGGCCTGGTGAGGAGAAGGGCTTAGTAAAACCATCATTATCAAGTTAGGTGTAATGTCCCTAGACATTACTTGCCCACCAGTAATAGTACCTGAACAACGGGAAAATATAATGGTATCAGCATAAGGTGGGTTCGGATTAGTGTTAATACAACTCTATTTAATCGAAAACTCGGATTTAAGTGAGAAAGAAGGCTAGGGAAAGCCGTGGCACCTTTGGAGAACAAATAAAATCTAATATGGTAAGTAAATGAATTATGGAGTTCTCCACACTGGGGCCACACAGAATACATTTATTAAATTCTTATAAATAACTGCTTTCTGTCACTGAAATACAAAAGCTGGCGACCTCTTGGGTATGCATCTGTTATGCACTGCAACCCCCAACAGGATTCTCAGTAGAAAACTAGATTCGTTTCGAAGACAAAGAATATTAGTCTTGGGAATCTCTTAGCACACGGCTTGCTCCAGATTAGAAGTACAAAATCTGTGCTGAGCCTAACTGAAATGTCCTGGAGCCCCGAGTGAACTCATGATTATGAATGGCGAAGCACGGCAGCAGGTGGGCTGGCAAGAAGTCTGACGGCTAGAGGGGAAATCAGGTTGAGCTCCAGCCACCAGAAACTGCTCCAAGAACGGTGGCTGGGGTGAGCCCAGGTAAGGCTAGGGGTGACCCCACAGCAAACGCATAGTTCTATGACACCTTATACAAGATCAGGAACCCTGGTGGTTAAGTACTAGACTGCTAGCCAAAGTGAGCGGTTCAGACACATCAACCCCGCTATACTGTAGAGGAGAGCAATGCAGCAGCAGTCGGCTCTCCAAAAGAGCATACACAAGGTCTCTGCCTTGTTGGGCATCGCTGAGTCTGACTAAACTCAAGGCAGAGGATTGGCTTGGTGTTATCTAAGATCATGCTGAGAAAAAGTTCTATGGAGTGAAACCATAAAAACTTAAGATGCTTCCCTGTAGCATAAATTGATCAATTTGGTGTGTACTCAAATGGCTAAGATCACTACCGAGTTGAAAATGGGTGGGTAGATACTGCTGCTCAACTCAGCAAAGCGGGGTCCCTCTCAACACCCCCCCCAGATGGAAGCCTGGACTTCAGAAAGAAGTGGAGATCAATATGAATATAAACAACAAACACCAGTGAGGAGTGCTGACCAACACTGCTAAGTATTGTGAGGTTTGAAAAGCAGGGAAACCCTGGATCTTGTCACTGGGATGCCAATGAACAACAGTCTAGGGC